GAATCGGTTTGGAAAGCCTTCGGGGAACACGTGGGCATCTTGAAGGTCCTCTTGGCCGCATCGAGGTCATTTTGACCCTTTTGGGCTTCTTGGAGGACGTCTTGGAGGGCTCTTGAGCCGTCTTGGAGGCCATCTTGCGTCTTGGAGGCCTCTTGGGCCGTCTTGGGGGCCTCGTGGGGCAGTCTTGGGCCTCTTGGGCGATCTTTGGGGGCACTTGGGTCGTCTCGGGCCGTCGGAAGACCGAACAACAAGCAAATGCCACAATCCTTCAAAAACTCGCTGGAAATCCATAATTTTGGCCTCTTCGGGCCTTCCTGGAGCCCTCTTGGAGGGCTCTTGGGCCATCTTAGGGCCATATTCGGCCGTTTTGGTGGGCCCTGGCCCGTCCGACGCCGTCGAAAGCCGTTTGGGGGGCCTCTCTGAGCCGACTTGGGGCCCTCTTGGAATGCTCCCGTCTTGGAGGCCATCTTGGGCGTCTTAAAAGGCCTCCTGGGCCGTCTTGGGGGCCTCTCGGGGCCGTCTTTGGGGCCTCGAGGGCCGTTCTGGGGCCATCTTGGAGGCCTCTTGGGCGATTCGGGTCGTCGGAAGACCGGAACGAAGCAAATGTCAACATCCTTCAAACACTTATGGAAAATAAGTGTTTTTGGTCTTTTCGGGCCTTCCTGGAGGCCCTCTTAGAGGCCTCTTGGGCCGTCTTGGGCCATCTTAGGGCCATATTCGGCCATCTTGGTGGGCTCCTGGCCCGTCTGACGCCGTCGGAATCCGTTCGGGGAGCCTTTCTGGGCCGACTTGGAGCCCTCTTGGGGTGCTCCAGGGCCGTCTGAGGCCATCTTGGAGGCCTCTTGGGCGCTGTGGGGGCGATCTTGGGGGCTTCTTGGGCCGTCTTGGGTCGTCGGAAAGCCGAGAAGAAGCGAATGCCAAAGTCGTTCAACAACCTAAAGAAAATCAATGATTTGGGCCTCTTCGGGCCCTCCTGGAGGAGCTCTTGGAGGCATCTTGGGCCGTCTTGGAGGCCTCTGGGGGGCCTCTTGGGCCGTCTTGGACTCTTGGGCCGTCTTGGACCATCTTGGGCGAACTTGGAGGCCATCTTGGGCCATCTTGGAGGCCATCTTGGGCCGACATGGCAATCTTGGAGGCCATATTGAGCCGTCTTGGAGAATTTTGTGTGGACGCTGAGGTAGTTTACGCGGCCTTCAGGGACCCCGGCGGAACGGGCCGAAGCCCCAGGGGGAGTTCTATTTGGAAAAAGAACCAGCACCAAAACCGAGAGGATCCAGCACGCCAGGCACCCCTGCGAGGAATCGACAGGGGGCGACGGATCCGAATGGCCTTCGGCCCATCCCGCCACCGTGCCTGGACTGTGGGTCAGAGACCTTTTGAGTGTTTGTTGTGGTCTCGTGGTAGGTCCCTTGGGGGGTCTCTTGGAAGCAGTTTTTGACGACTCTCGTGTTGTCCAGCAAGCACCCGTTGAGTCAGATCCTCTGCTTGGATGAAGACGTGTTGCAACTGATTGCGATGTGGACGTGTTTTTGGTCGACTTGGGGCCCCGTTGGGGCTGTTGGAGGTTCTCTTGGCCTGTATCGGGTCTTTTGGCAGCGTTGGGTCAGAATGGAGGCTTCTTTGGATATAATGGAAGGTTCCTGGGTGCCGTTTGGGCAACGTGGCCTTTCCTGGTGAGGGGATGAGATCGAAGTGAAAATGATCCTGCGTTTCCCAGAATCAAGTCTTGCGTCGTACAGATGCGCGGTGGATGAGGATGGCCACGTCGGACTTCTGCCGAAGCGAGGAGAATCGAGAATCCGGGTTCTCGCACTTCTTCCGCGCCCAGCGCATGGAAGAGCAGATCGAACGAGATTGGTGCCGCGCGAGTGGCATCTGAGTCATGATGTCTTGGAAGTCTGTATGCCCCAGGTAGTACCATCCAGACACTTGGAGCATCTTGTCTCTATGCCTCCTCAAGTGGTACCAGGTACGTACAACTTGAGGCGTGCCGCCCGCATGCCTCAAGTTGTACATGTCTTGCTTCAGTTGAGGCATATCGTTTGTACGCTCGATACATGTCGTTTGTATGCCCCAAGTCGCACCAGCCATGTACCACTTCAGGCATACCATCTGCGTGCTTCAAGTTGTACCGAGCCATTCCCGCTTGAGGCAGTTTGTCTTTATCCCTTCAGTGGTACAGGGCAACTACAGCTTGAGACATGCTCTCTGTATGCTTCAAGCGGTACCTGACATGTTCCACTTGAATCATGTCGTTTGGATTCTGCAGTTGGCATCGGCCAACTACCACTTGAGCCATGCCGTCTGTATGCCTCAACTGGTACACGATAAGTGCCGCTTGATGTATTGCGTCTGTATGCTTCAAGTGCCTCAACTGGTACCGACGATTTACCAATTGAGGCATGTCGCCTATATGCTTGACGTGGGACCGACCCAGTACCACTTGAGGCCTGTCGCCTGTAAGCTTCAAATTGCACAGGACAAGTGTACATCGCTTATGTGCCTCTTGTGGTACCAATCATTCGGGGGGTCTCTTGGAGACACTGTTTGGGGCTCTGGGGAACCGTCTAGGGGCCTCTTGATGCCTCTTAGGGGCCTCTTGGGGCTTCTTCGTGGCCTCTTCGGGGTCTCTTGGGGGCTCTTGGGGGCCTGTCGGGCCACATGGGCATTTTGAGGCGGAAGGCTCGAATGTTCGGTTCGTGATCCCCCTCCTGGGCCCCTCTCCTGGGTGTTTTCTTGGAGCCCTCTTGCGCCGACTTCGGGGGGGGGGAGGGAGGAGGAGGAGGAGGAGGAGGAGGAGGAGGAGGAGGAGGCGGAGGAGGCGGAGGAAGAGGAGAACTAGGGGATGGGGTCGCAGGAGACGACGACGACGACGATGACGATGACGATGACGACGACGAAAACGACGACGACAGGGGGGTCTCGGGTTTCTGTTGTGCGTTCGTGGGAGGCCTTTTAGTCGTCTCTTGGAAGCAGTTTGTCGGCCTCTGGGAGGCCGTCTGGTGATCTCTTGGGGCCTAGTCTGGGCCTCTTGGGGCCTCTTGGGCGTTTCTTGGGGCCTCTTGGAGGCCTCTTGGAGCCTTCTATCAGAGCGTGAATTACCTACCCCGCTTTCGCTTCCAGGCAAAACCAAGCCATACCACGAGTCGCCTCGTCAGGCGGCCTGACCAGTACAGGTTGCAATTTGGCATCGTTTGGTATCTCTTGGAAGCGAGGGTGGTCAAAAGCGAGGTAGGTTTGTTTTCCCCCTATTCTAGGGCCCTCTTGCGGCGGAAAGCTGACATTTTCGGTTCGTGGTCTCCGTCTCGGGCCCCTCATGGGACCGTCTAGGGGGCCTCTTGGGCCGTCTCGCGCTCCTCTGGGGCCGTCTTGGTGCTCTCTTGAGCCATCTTGGCGCCCTCTTGGGGCCCTCTTGGGCCGTCATGGGGCGGTGTTGGAGCCCTCGTGGGCCGCCTTGGAGCGGCGGAACACCGAAAAGGAGAGAATTGGGCTTCAACATGTGCGTGAAGTTTGCTATTCATTCATTTTTCTACAAAAGACCTGGATCTTGGTCAAGCTCATACGCTGATGGGTTGTCCACCTGGCATGATATTGATATTGTTTGTACCCCCCGACCGACAGTTACACCCAGTGCCTCGCGGTACGGTGGCGGATACCGCAAATCACCCACGGCGCAAATGTATGGCGCAACCTTTAATTATGGAATTTTCGCGTAATTCCATCAGCCCAATTAGGAGAGCCGCCTTGATCAGGAATGTGTAGCGGCATGCAGTGGAACAACACGAGGACAGTCGTCACTTCTGGAAAGTGAGGAAGAAGGGAGGCTGGTAAACGGAGGAGGCAGGAAACGGTTGGGTGGAAAGGGAGTTACAGTAGGACGGACCGGCGAGAGGAGGGGGGGGAGGGGGAACGGTGAGTTCAGATTCCGAGATAATTTGGAGCTGCTTCTCTGGAGATCCTCGCTCTTTGGGAACTTTGGAGGGGGGGGAATGGGGGGTCTAGAAAGGTTGCGGAGGGATGGGTGGTTGATGGGAGGGTTTGAGGGGGTATGAGAGGGATGGGCGCCTTCTTGGAGGCAATCGGTTGAAACGGGCGGCGCTAACGCATGCCTCCCGTCGGTTAGCACCCAAAACCGCTTTGGTCGCTTTGGGGGCGCTCTTGTGCGCTCTTGAGGCCGCATTGCGTCCCTCTTGGGGCCGTCTTGGGCAATCTTGGAGCCACCGTGAGACCTCCAGAGCCCATTTGAAACGAAATGGCGAGGAGGTAAACAGCATTGAAACACTCATCGGTGTTGAAGGATTTTTGGCCTACTGGCGGCCTCCTCGGGAGGCTCGTGTTGGAGGCTATCTTGAATCATCTTGGGACATCGTGAGCGACCTTGGAGGCCGTCCTGGGCGGTGGAGCCGTTTTGGAGCCATCTTGGGCCACACAGGATCCTCTGACACCTCGCGGGGCGCCCTCCAGGTCTAGGGAGGGGGAATCCCCCCCCAAGGGGAAGACGGGGGGTTATCACGCCGTGAACGGCTGGTGGGATTGCAGGGGGGTGGGGCGTCATGGAGAAGGCCTTTGGCGATGGGGTGAGGGCGGCGAAGCAGGAGGGAGGAAGGAGGAGGAGTTCGGATGGAGAATTGAGGATGCGCAGCAGGAGAAGGACGGCGACGACGACGACGACGACGGGGCCCTCGCAGAGAAGGCACATCAACTGAGAAGGTATCGGCCTGCCAGCAGGTGCCAAAGGGAAGTATCTTACACCCCGATGGCCCAAGGGACCCGCAGAAGTTCTGTGGTACCTTGGGACCCTCAGAGGTCGACAAAACCACGTGCTCCAAGATGTCCACAACTGTGTGTCTGCTGTAGCTGTATTCGCTCGTGGTTTTTTGCTGGGCAAGCCCTCCCGAACTGTGCCCGACACGCGGCGATCTGTTGTATGGCCTCGTTCGGCGAGAGGTCTGGGAAGCGGGCTGGTCCGCTGTGCCGCCTTCTGCCGCCCGCTCGCTCAGACCATGAACGACATCAACAGCATCCCCGACTTTTGGTCCGCACGCGCGGGCGGGAGGGGCTCCGATCTCTTGCGTCGGCAGTGCGGTCGGCCAGGTTCATGGACGGTTCTCGTGAAGCGTTTCCATACCGTACCCATGGCGTCGCTCTTTGAGGCCTCAGCTTGCAAGGCTATGGATACACAAGGGCATGGATGCAGCGTCTTGGATGCATCTGGCTGTGGTATACCTCCACCCATGCCATGGCAGCCTTGACCTGCAATCTGATATTTACATTTCTCCCCCATGATTCTCTCTCCCCTCCCCTGACCCCCGGGAAGTTCGGCTCCACATCATATGGTTCCCCTTCTGCCCACGTTTCTTCACAGTTATTCTGGTTGGTCAGTTGTTGTGCGTCTGTGTGTGCCAGCGTGTGTCCCAGCAGTGAGTAAGACGTGTAGTCTATGTGGTGCGATCGTTGTGTTACAATCTGTGTGTTGCAACCGATGTGGTGCAATCTAGGTGGGGGCAAGCTACGTGGTGAACGTTACAGCATGCAACCCATAGGTTGTAGCATGTGTGGCCGCAACGTTTGTGGTGCAGTCCTTGCGGTGCCGTGCATGTCGTGCAGTCCATGGATTGTTGCGCGCAGGTGCGTTTTGCAACAGAAGCGATGCAGTCTACTCGGTGCACGTAATGTTGAAACTGTCGAAGTCGTCAACTCCACGATCGAGCACACATCCAACCAACCCGCCCGTAATTTCTTGAAAAAGTATGAAATGGCGCAATGGTGCCAGGACCCGTCTAATGCAGACCCATGCCTCGGGCTGGCGAGTGATGATAGTGACGTCGGCATCGGCGACGGCGACGTTGATGATGTTGCAAGTGACGACGATGACCAGGGCGACGACAACGACGATGACGATTGTGATGGCGATGATGACAAGCATGATGGGATCATGATCCTGATCATGATTATGATGAATCTGACCATGGCGCCGACGACGATTGTGATTGCGATGAGGATGATGGTGATTTGTGGTGACGATAACAATGATGACGCTGCTGGTGTTGATGACGATTGTGTGTTGATGAGGATAGTGAGCGGCTGTGCGCGCAGGAACGGGGGCAGACTTGTTGCAAATGCATTGCTTTCATGTGCGCTCAACACTTCGATGCTGAAATGCTCATGCACCGAATGGTCTTGCAATGCAGGGCTGGACCTAAACGGTGTTTCTGGCGATTTCGTGGGCCGTTTTCGTTTCGACGTCGTTTTGCGGTAAAGATGGATTGAAGACAAAACGAGGGACAACGAAAACAACACGAAAACGAAACACACCGTTAGGTTCAGCCCTGCTGCAATGCGGAGGAGTCTTGCGCGGGCTCGCACGCTCCTGCTCACTGCCGTGCCTGAGCTGGCGCGGGTCCTCAGCGCCTCTGGCTCAACGCCCCCTCCTCGTCCGCAGCCTCGTCCTCCGCCTCGCTCCTTCCTGCCCTTCGCCCCTCCTCCCGCTCGAGGGCGTCTTGGAGTCTTCTCTGGGCGTCCTGACGCGTCCCCTTGGCGCCCGCTTGGCATCCCTTCGAGAGGGCCCCCGGGGGGCCCTCTGCTGGCCTCTGTTGGGGCGAGCGGCGCCGGGCCTCGGGGGCCCCGGTGCTGCAGGGGCACCCCCGAGGCGGCTCTGCAGAGGCTCTGCGGCTTTGTTGTTCCACCGCACAGCCGCCGGCCCACCCGCGCATCTCGGGTCGGGCGAAAGGGGGGGATTGGGAAAGGGGGGGTTACGAAATTTGCTGCATGCAGCTGGTTTCGGCCTCACCGAGGGGCCCATTCCTCGGTACATCGCCGCCTCCGGCGCCGGGAGGCGCCGGGAAAATCAGCTACGTGAGCTGATTCTCAAACCCCCCCTTTGCTATCCCCCCCTTTCGCCCGACCCGAGCATCCGGGACGGTCGGTCCCTGCTCCAGTGGAGGACAGGGGTCGATCTAAACGGTGTTTTGGCGATCTCGTGGGCCGGTTTCGTTTCGGTGTCGTTTTGCGGCAAGGGCGGATGGGCGGCAAAACGAGGGACAACGAACACAGCACGGAACCGAAAAACACAGTGTAGGGCGACCCCTTGTGGAGGAGGGAGGGGGGAGGACGAGCGTCGAGGGGCGAGGAGGAAGGGGTCGAATAAGGAAGCACGGGTGCGCAGGCTTGTCCTGATCGTTTGACTCTTTTTTTTTGTGATCCCGTTTCTTCGTTCCTTGTTGCAGTCATTTTGTTTTGGAGGAGGCTGCCCAGGAATTGGGCACTTGATTTCAATTCCTCAATAGACAACATCCCGCCCCTACATCCACCAGGACGGTGTTTACATGTTTTTGTTCGGAACGCCTGTCGATGTAGTCGACCCAATCGGATGGCGATAGTTCAGGTCGCCTCTTTGTTGTGCCAAACGTCGTTTTATACCACAGTTGTTCCTTTACATACATATATATAGATAGTTCTAACCGCTTCTACTTTTCATTACGCTCGTGAGTACATTAAGAAACAAAAACATGCGACGGTGCATGTGCGCGAAAACGCTATTTGAGGAATGTTCCAGGGATCCTCACGCATGGCAAATTTTATTATGAAGGGGTTTGGGGCCTTCTTATTGATTGCTTCGCTCATTCCGCCGGCCCATATTGTCGCATAAGCGGGCGATGAGGAGAAGGAGGTGGCTTGTCGATGGTTTCTTGGGGAACTCGTTTGACGAAACTAGGTCGTCGGCAACACGGGTCTCTTGGAGACGCCGTGGGGTTTCTTGGGAGGCCTCTTCGGAGCCTCTTCGGGGCTTCTTGGGCTAGTGTATTTTGGAACTTCTGGGAGCTTCTTGGGGCCCTGCTGGTGGTCTCGTGAGGGATCTCGCGGAAGAGGGCCGGACGTGGCAGCTCGGAGTGCCGCTCTTGGGGTCTTCTGGGAGCCTCTGGAGCGGTCTTGAGGAGCCTTTGGGGTTGTCTTTCAGCGCTCATGGGCTGTCTTGGGCTCATCTTGGAGGCATGTATGGCCGTGTTGGGGCGGTTTTGAGGGCCTCCTGGGCAGTTCTACGTCGTGAAACTTCAAAGTCGCTTATGCGGAAAACGTACGCAATCCTACGGGAATGGGAGGATCTATGCTTCTTGGGGACCTCTGGGAGGGCCTCTTGCAGCTCTCTCGATGCTTCTTGGCGGCCGGTTTTCTAGAGGCCATCTTGGGCGTCTTGGACCGACCTTTCGGCGACGCGGTGCCTCTTGGACCATCTGGGGAGCATCTGGAGCGCTGTGGGGGACCTTGCGGGGACCTTGCCAGAAGTCTCCCAGGTTTCAACCGGGGTACTTTTCGCTCCGGGTCTTGCCCGCCGCGCGGCGTCTGCGTTGTCGGCAAACAGGAGACGTCCAAGGCCCCGATAGCGGAGCAGTCCAAAGCGCTTGCAAGCCTGTGGGAGAGGCTTGCAAGGACGGTGGGAAGGCTCTGTGGGGAGCTTGTAAGCTTCAGACTGGAGCTTCGCAGGAGCTCCCGAAGCTCCGTATCGTTTATCCGATCCCCATCCCCATCCCCATCCCCTTCAAGACACCACCAAATTGCCACCCCAGTTGGGGATACACCCCTCGAAATCCGCAGGGAACAACCTATATCCCCATCTAGGGGGGTCAATCGGCCAGCGGGGCCCAGGCCACGCCGCTGGGGATGGGGATCGGTAAAACGATACTCACGCAAGCTCCAGAATGGAGCTTCGCAGGAGCTCCAGGAGCGCTGCGAAGGAGCCGCGGCAAAAGCCTGCGGCAAACGTGATTTATGGGGAGCGCGGGACACGCCGGAGGGTCAAGCAGCTCGCTGCGAGAGGCTGCCTGCCCAGCGCCAGAGAGAGATCCGGGACTACCCCTCAGTCGGGCCTGTCCCTCTACAGGGGGAGCATTGAGACACTGCAAAACTAGTCGGGGGACGCTTCTGGGAGTCATTTTACGAGTCTTCTTTGAAAACGATATGTTTGGATCTTTCGTCCGAACCCCGTCTGTATGGGGGGCACGCCCGACCTAAGACTACCCTGCGCCGCCAGCTTCTAGTCCGGAGCCCTCCTAGCCCTCGGAGAGAGCTGCCCGGGGAAACATCCGGGGGCCCCGCTCGGGGCACGATGAGGCCAACGGCGGGCGTCGGGCAACGCAGGCCCCCGAGCGTCGTCGAATATCTATATATATATATATATATATATATATTTATATATATATATATACTCTGTGGCGCGGCGGGTGTGGGTGGCCCGGGCTGCCTTCGAGTCTCGGGCGATCGCAGGCACGGATCAGGGAGGCGTGGATTATCGGGGGTGGATAGACCTCCTACCCTGACACGTCGATTGAGGAATTGGCCGTTTTCGGTTCGCGAGAGGGCGTCGCGGCCGTCATTCTTGCGGGTCCAGGTCTGTCGGTTTCGGTCCTAGGCCGTTCTCACTATAGGGAGGTTTACTAAAGGGAGGTTTGTCCACCGCCGAGATTTGCGACAGGTCCCGCTTCCATGGAAAGGCGCGGATTTCCGCCGCCGAGCGAGGCGGCACGAGCCGCGTTTTGGGGAGAGCGCCTCCCCCGATCCGTGGAATTGGCGACCGCGCGCCACGTCCATGGGTCGCTGATCCATGTCTGCGCGCCCCCGAAATTTGGTGCGCGGCCGTTGCCTTAGTGACTTTGGCTCTTGGGAAAGAAAGCAACAGCATAAACATAAGCTACATGTTTGGAGCTCCGCGCTGATTTCTTGCTTCGGCGCCAGCCCCCCCTGGCGCCGCCCCTGGCGCGCTCCGCGCACCAGGGAGGGGCCTCCAGCGTGGATCCAACAGATCGGCGCGGACATCCAAAAATTCACGTTTATGTAATTCTGTCGTTCCTCTACGGTAGGATGGCGGTGCAAAACGAGGAGTCGGGGGCGAGGGAGATGTCTGTGGGGGGGCATATCATGGCCGGGGACGGGGCCATGATATCTCCCCTGACTTCATGGCGTCCCTTGGTTCCCCACTTCCGCGCACATGATTCGTGCCATGCTTTGCGAACCTCCCTCCTGGACGCCGCGGCCTTTTCCTCTCTCTCTCTCTCTCTCTCTCTCTCTCTTTCTCGAAGAAGAAGAAACAAGGTCACAAACAAAACTTTTCGCGCTCAGCGCGGATTTCTTGGAGCCGCGCTGGGCCCCCCCGGCGGCGCCTCTGGCGCTGCCCCTGGCGCGCTCCGCGCGCCACGGAATGGAGTCCAGCGCAGATCCCAGGAATCCGCGCGGAGCGCCAAAAGTGTATGCTTGTGCCGCCTGATTTTCTTCTTCTATCCTCGCTGTCGGGTTCACGCCCCGTGCTCGCTGGAACGCACGCCCACGCGTGCGCGCGGGCATGTCCGGGCGCTCTGCGCGTGATCATCTGCGGGTGGCTCGTGCGCCCCTGCGCGTGGCCCCGCACGGGTGCCAGCCGGCGAGCACGGGGAGGCGAGGTTCGAGGTCTCTCCTGGGTTCGAGGAGAGTGCAGTGCTCTCTATCTGGCCTCCAGGAGCCGTTGTCGATCCCGGGGGGCCTCGCAAACGGATCCGAGGGGATGCAACCAGAGCTGTCCTGGCGGAGGACCTGGCCAGGTGCAGTTGCAAGTGCCTTCGTTGCGGGTGTCCGCTTCGCGGGACCTCCTCAACGGGCCGTGAAGCATGCCAAGGGTGTGCCGATATGGGGCGGGGCCGCCATGTGGGCGCTGCCACTGGGGCATTCTGTGGAACGCATGATGGGGCCGCGAAACGTGTTCGGGGTACACCGCAATGGGGCGGGGCCGCCACTGGGGCATTCGGTGGAGCTCCCTCTGGGGCCACGAAACGCTGTACACCGCCACTGAGGCCTTCGGTGTGGAGCTACCTACGGGGCCACGAAGCGCTGTACTGGGTGGGGGAACCGCATGCGGACACCGCCACTGAGGCCTTCGGTGGAGTCCTCCATGGGGCCACGAAGCGCTGTACTGCTTGGGGGAACCGCATGCGGACAGCGCTGCTGAGGCCTTCGGTGGAGCTCCCTATGGGGCCACGCAGCGCTGCACTGAGTGGAGGATCCGCATGAGGAAACCGCTGCTGAGGCCTTCGGTGGAGCTCTCTAAGTGGCGACGAAACTCTGAATTGGGTGGGGAACCAGATGCGGCCACCGCCACTGAGGCCTTCGGTGGAGCTCCCTATGGGGCCACGAAACGATGTACTGGATGGGGGAACTGCATGCGGAAACCGCTGCTGAGGCCTTCGGAAGAGCTCCCTCTGGGGCCAGGAAGAGATGTACTAGGTGGAGGATCCGCATGCGGACAGCGCTGCTTAGGCCTTCGGTGGAGCTCCCTCTGGGGCCACGAAACGCTGTACTGGGTGAGGGAACCAGATGCGGTCACCGCCACTGAGGCCTTCGGTGGAGTCCTCTATGGGGCCACGGAACACTGTGCTGGGCGGGGGAACCGCATGCGGACACCATTCAGGCCTTCGGTGGAGCTCCCTATGAGACTACGACGCGCTGTACTGGTTGGGGGAACCGGATGCGGTCACTGGCCGACATTGAGGCCTTCGGTGGAGCTCCTTGAGGGGTCACGGAACTGGGAGGGTTGTGCCGACATGAGATGCGGAGGGCAGATGCAGGGATGGGAGGAGGGGCAGGAGGGGGAGTAGAGGAGATGCGGGGCGTTGTCTCTTCAAGACGAGGACCAAACACCAGAGGATGGCTGGGAATTGGCAGATGGACCCCCAGACCGGTTTTGAGCGGGTGTGTTCTGATCCCCACCGTTTTTGACCGATTGTCTTCAGGTCCGTCCAGTTCAGACCCCCAGGCTGCCTGCAGTGTGCGCGCGTGCGGTTGCAGAGCACGCACTGTGGCGTAGATGCGTCGCCGTCGCCCTTCTCCACCGGCAAGGTCGTGGATGAATTTGGGCTTCGTTCCGTTGCTGTTCCCCGCCGAGGGCTCCTGGGATACCGACGAGATGCGAGCCAACGTGGGGACCATGTGCAATAGTTACAAGGAGGGCCGCGTAGTGGCAAATGCATCTGATCATTTCTTCCCTCAGCATAGCATTGCGCTGTATTGGATATGTGCTGCTACCACTTGGCATAGCTATCGTAGTCGTCGCAACAGTCGTTCTGGCAGCCGCAGTCTTGGTGAGCCCATTATTTCGCCCGCTATGTCGCAATTGTTGGCGAATGGCTTTGCTTGCATTGCCAGGCCGCTAGTACCCGACACATGTAGGGTCGCAGAAGTACCAGCACTAGCAGTTGCATTAGAAGCAGTAGCATGCATAGTTGCATTCGCACTTGAATCGCATTAGTAGTATCAGTAGTGCCCAACGGTTGGGGCTCTCGTGCTGTTTCAGGATATAAGCGTTGGTGTAGATGTGGATGAAGACGCGGACGAACATGTTGATGTAGACGTACATGTTGCCCCCCCGATATATATCTATATATATATATATATATGTAGAGAGAGAGAGAGAAAAAGACAAAAAAACAGAGATACAGAGACATTCGAGGAGGATGACCTGCCCGCCGCACGGAGCACTTGCTTTCTTGGGGGGAGAACCACAGGGAGATTGTTTTCCCTTTTGGGTTTGAGTTGTTGGCGCAACTAAGAACAAGCAGACACTGTTTTGTGTCCAAGAGTCTTGGGTGGGAATCAAAGCACAGCAACACAAGCTCCGATCAGGGTAGCACATCAATAATCATCTAATGTGGTCGATCCTTTTGGGCTTCCCCAGGGCCCATCCAACCCAGATTCTGCCAAGCAGTCCGAAGGCCCAGCATCCGATGACTCTTATGTGTGTTCATGGCCAAATAACCTCGCAGAGTTGTTGTAGACCCAAGATGTTGCCTTATGAGCGAAACGAATGCTTCGCACCAGTCTCTCTCTTTCTCTCTCGCTCTTCCTCCTTCGTTTTTCTTGACGTGTCTCCCACACACCTCTCTTCCACCAACAGAGACTGAAGCCATATTACATTCCCCTACGCCAGCATCTGCACGTTCGTCAGCAACTGCATCCTTGAATACGGTTTCCGCCAGATGGATCCTTGTCGTAAGAATTCATTCAGTAAGGATTTGTGATCGTACGGGTTGCTTGGTCGGAATTCGTCCAGCCACGGCTCCTTGCTGAGGACGCTTTTCATTCTTTCGTACGGATGGCTTGTGGATGGAGTCCTTGGGCCACGTTGTTTTTTGTTGTTTTCAACGGATGTCTGTAAGAAGCATGTCTTTCGCATTCCTGCAATAAGGCTTCCTGTAGTAATGATATTTGTTTGTGGGGTGAGGGATCTTTTCTGAAGGTGTCCGTCAGTATTGATTCATTCAGGATTTCATCAGTACGCATTCTGGCAGAGGGTTCTTTAAGCGGGTTCCATGAGTATTGATTCCTTCCGTAGAGCGAGACTTCTATTTGGGAATACTGTGCAAAGGATTCTCAAAAGGGTTACAGAGTCGGCATCTCTTTAGAGCAAGGGGTCCTTGGACAATGAGTGGGCAAGGGTTCCTTGAGTATGCATTTCTTTAGGGATGCCCCCTCTTGCAAGAAATTGTCTTGCCATCACCCCGTAAGGACGGATCCGTGTCGTAATGGATCCTCTGGTATGGACCTCTCGGCGGACGCCCCGAGCGCAGTGGAAACGGGCGGCACCGTGGCGAGACCTCGCTCCGGACCTCCCAGGGCGCTGTGGGCGTTCTGCAGGGCGGCAGCGAGGCGGCTGTGGACGGGGCGGGCGCGGCGGCACAGAAGGCGGCAGGCGCGGGCGGCCGCGGGCGGTTCGGCGTGGCGGAGCTCTGGCGGGCCGACATGGCGCGGTGGGCGGCGGCAACGAGGAGGCAGCGTTCGAAGAATAATAGCGCCATAGACATACATGTTTGGCGGCTCGGCGCGTATTTCGATCCGCGCTGGCATCGCCCTGGCGGCGCCGGAGGCGCCGCCCCTGGCGCGCTCCGCGCGCCAGGGGGGGATCCAGCGCAGATCCAAAAAACCCAGGCGGAGCGCCAAAAGTCTACGTTTTTGCAGTTTTTTAGTTGTTTTCTTTTTTCCATCTTCTAGAGGAGGCAGCGTGTGCCGGGGGTTCAAAGACGGGGGGTCCTGAGGGTTGGGGTCCTAAGGACGAGGTGCCTCAAAGAGCGCGCAGATCCACCCTTGGAGCCCTTCCTGTCCTGAGGGCCCCAGCACTCAGGACCCCGTCTTTGAACCACCGAGCGTGGCGAAGTCTCCGCGGAGCCCCCTAAGCGCGGCAGCAACGGGGCGGCACCGTGTGGCAGCAGGCGGCAAAACCTCGGCGGAGCCATTCGATGCCTCAGCAACGCAAGTTGGAACGCCGAAGGGCAAGCACTGCCTGGGAATCGCCAGAAGCACTACGAGCATCGGTCAGCGTTGGCAGCACTAGCAGATGTTGTGGCACCCTTGTCATTATCCAGTTGCGTTGCTGCGAATGCTAGCCAACAAAAATGGGGAAAGCAGCGCAGCAGCGCTCAAGCACGTCATGTGGTCTCTGCGCACAGTGGGGCCGTTAGGGGGCGGGGGCCTTGTTGCCATCGGGGGGCAGTTTCTGGCAGGGGCCGTCCCGAGTCGACGAGCGCGTTCCACTACTCGCAAAGTAACTACTCGCAAGTGGCCTGGATCCCCCGCGGGGGATCTACCTGGATCCCCCGCGGGGGATCTACAATAAATGTTCGGCGCTTCGCGAATCCCCACCAGCCCATCCAGAAACGATGCCCAGAGGAATTGCCTCGATCAGGGAAGTGGGCAGCACACAGAGGAAGCCAGTATGAGACATCTTGGGATATCTTGAGACATCTAGGAGGTCTGGGCTCTCCCAGGCGCTCTTGGAGTCATCTTAATCAGTGCCCCCCCCCCAAGAGGCCAACATGTGGCTAACACCTTCGTAACATCAATGATTTGGCATTCTCGCCGAGGCCTCTTGGAGCACCTTGGGTGCCTCTGCGGGGTCGCTTGGGGCCTGTTGGGGGTCTCTTGGGAGTCTCTTGGGGGCATCCTGGGGGCCTCTTGGGGCTTCCTGGCCCCCTCTTGGGGCCATCTTGGGGCACCCTTGGGAGCCGTGGCGCCATCTTTGGGCCATCTTGGGTGAGATCGGTCACAGGAGGGGGGGTGTTCGATTAGTGTCCCCCCCCCCCCCCAAGAGGCCAAAATGGTGCCAAAACCATAGTAAAACAAATGATGTTGGCTTCCTCGCCGAAGCCGTTTTGGACGCCCTGACACCTCGCGACCCCCTCCGTCCAGGTCTAGGGGAGGGGGTAGGGGGAGGGGTAAACCCCTCCCCGAAGGGGAAGAAGGAGGGGTGGAAGAGCACTTTGCGAGTAGTGGAACGCGCTCGGCGACTGAGGGTTTTTGTTGGGCAGTCTCCTCGGGAGGTGGGGCCGTAACGGGCTCGCCTTTGGGCTGTGATTGGGCCGTCTCGGACTGGGTCTGGCCCGTTCTCCTGGGCCGCAGTTGCGCTGCTCAAGAGCGGTCCGAAGGCCGTCCAGTGACCATCCAGAGGCAGAGCCCTCTGAGGCGTGGGCACATTGTCCAATAGGGTTGAACGCGTACATGGCCATTGCAGTCAATGCGCTTGTTAGGGATGCGCGCCTGCTCTGGGGTACCCTCGTGTCCTTGCCTCTGTCCTCTGCGGACCGTTCTTTGCCGTCCGTTTCCAATGGCCATTCTCTCAGGGTATATTTGTGGTTTGGTCACCCGCAGCCCAAGACATCTTGACTTCGGCATGGAAGGGTCTTGCGTTCCTACCCCGTCCTTATTATACGGTTTCACGATACGCCATTACGCTTACGTTAGACAGCAGTATTTTCACATTCCATTGCAGAGTCAGGTTCGCGGAAGCCCCCAAATGCTCACCGTCAGTGCTAACGGAGCAGGGTCCACGTGCACGTGTACGCCAGCGAGAAGACAGAGTCATTATTGTCATAGTAACCGGTGTGATCTCGCACTGCATTATTTCGACCGTTTCTGCCTGGATGTGCTGGAATATGTCGGTGTACTGCCTCGATGTGCTGGTGTCCGTGTGCTGGGATCGGTGGTGTAAGATGTGTCGGACGTACTGGGGTGTGCGTTGGGGGCTAGGATGCATGCTGTGATGTGTTGGAACACGTGCTGGCCGTGCCCCCTGGCACGTGTCGGTGCGCGCTGGGGGTGCTGGGATGCTTGGGTGTTGGCTCCCCCCCCGCCCCTGTCCTATTGTTCCCGCTCGATGCCAACGCAACCGGGATACGAATCGTCATTATTGGGTGGGTGCTGGATGGCACGTGTTTCATCAGTACGACAAGAAGGTGGCAGTGGTAGAGCATGCGTCATTACAACCAATGGTTTCTACTTTCACGATTACAATTGGAATTGGATCTCAAAGCGCAAAGGCAACGGAAACGGGTCATATAACCACGTGCACTTCGGAAAATGGTTGTCGAATGGAGATGACCTCACAGACTGCCGATTGATGAAGGAATGTGCGGCTTAGCCGCACGTTGCCTTGGACTTGATGATGGATTGGGTCATTAACTTTACCGTGTCCTTGACCATGAGCGGAATGTGCAACTCAGGCGCATGTATCCCTCCCTGTATTTACCTGTTCTAGAAGATCAACATAACGCTGTTGACCAAGAACGTGGGTATGAGCTGGCGTTGCGGGATACGTCAGTCTGCTTCGCCCCGCTCTACCAGGACAAGATGCCATCCCGTCGCATGCGCTGTAAAACGTTTTGGATCTTGGCGCCGTGGGCGCCCAGTGTCCCTGGGGATGGCATGAAGTCTGGCAGCTCCGAAGGAAGCATCATGTCGGGCCTATTCATCCTGCCGCGGATGGGGATTCATACGACTCCTTCCTCGCCGTCTCCCGCCGCCGACGCCCCACACCGCCGGTGGTCATCGCGTATACCGCAGTTGCATTGGGCTGAGAGTCGGTGGAAGAGGGGCGCGCCCTCGGCTGGCTGGCTCCCCTCCCTACGCATGCCTCTCTGCACGCCTCCGCTTCACAGAACCATAGTGTAGCCATGTCGAACACAATAGCCTACTGAGGTGATGAGCGCATTGACGACTCCAGAGCAAGTTGATACGCGGATCATTATGCCAGCATTTTCCGAGCCCACGGCAAATAAGTAGCAATGATTGATTATGTTCCGACCCTGTGGCGTAATTAATTGAGATTTGCGACGCTCCAGTGGTTCTATCACGATTGCTCCCCAGACCATTCTCGATGTCGACATTGGCATTTTCCCCGCGCCGCGTCCAGCCGTGGCGACGAGGGGGCCCTTCCTCTCCCCCCCTTCAGCTGGACAGAACTAGCGCGGGGCCATCTCAGCCTCCCAGCCGGCTCCAAGCATCTATCCGTGTTTCCGAAGTACGCGATTCTTCTCCCATCTGCCAACCACCACTCGAGGCAGCGCTCGAGGGGTTCGGTGGCTACGACGACGACATGCTCAGCGGCACGACGGACACTACCGGCATTCACGGCAACATGAACACCGATTCTGGATCTTACCGCCCCCGCGGAGTGGCAGTGGGAGTAAGGACCGGTTGTGTCGCGACAGCGTGCGCACACGTGGCAGCCTTAGAGTTGTCTCGGAGCGTGCCTGATGCAGTGTATGTCTTAAGCAGTGTTTGCACTCGGGGGCTCGTGCATCCCTCTTCTAACGAGTTGGGCCCGTCTGGTGGCCCGGCGGCCCCGTTCCCTTCCGTCGCCGCTGTATCATTCCCCGTACAATGCCCGTCTGTTGGCCCGGCTCGCCCCGTTGCACCCCCTTTCTCGCATCGCAAGTGCTGCGTTGCGTTGCGTTGTGTTGCGTTGTTGCGCGTTGCGGTGCATTGTTTTGCTTTGCATCGCATTGCGTTGCATTGCGTTGCATCGTTTTGCATTGCTTCGCGTTGGCTAGCATTGCATCGCATTGTTCGCATCGGTGATGGTGCATTGCGTGGCGTTGCTTCGCATTGGTTGGTTTGCATTGTTTTGCGTACCTGTGCCCCGCATGGATTCTCCTTTCTGAAAAGAGAACCGACTACCCCCCCCGCGTTATCCGCCCCCCTTTCGGGTATGTAAGTCATATCTGGTTCTGACCACACGTCTATCCTAAATATGAATTTGCACTATCCCAGAGGGGCCGGGATCGGCCCCCCTGAGGTTCCCTTGTAAAAAAACGATACGCGGGGACATCTTTTGTTCTAACATAACACTGTTTCACGAATCCCTTGCAAGAAATGGGACGAAGTGCACACGCGCGCGTCGTCGCGCGCGCATGTCGAAATCCTTCAAAAACCTTCGGTGTCGGAAGGGTTTCGCAAACGAGGTCCCAAAACACATACAAAAACACAGGGTTTTGCAACACTGATTTGCTAAAAAAGCTTCCCCGCGAGCTCTTGCGGAATCTTAAGAAAACCATAGATTTTTCAAGATTTCCACAAACTGCTACCAAGCGAGCTTCGCGCGCACGCATGCCGAAATCTGTCGAACGCCCTTGCGCGTGTGCCGTCGCGAGAATCCTCTGTAAAAAACGGGACGAAGTGCAGACGCGCGTGTCGTCGCGCGCGTATGCCGAAATCCTTCAGAACCCATCGGCTTCGGAAGGATTTCAACATCGTGTGTCCAAAAAACCTACAACAACACAAGGTTTCGCAACACGGATTTTCAACAAAAGCGTGCGCGCGCGTTCTTGCGTCGTCGTCGTCGTCGTCGCTGTCCTCCCTCTTGCCGCGTCGTCGTCGTCGTCGCCTACGTCGTCCTCTGTCTTTCCTCGTGTTCGTCGTCGTCGTCCTCTTTTGCGTCGTGGTCGTTTCCGTCGTCGTTGTCGCCGTGGTCGTCCTTCCTCCTCCTCCCTCGTCGTCGTCGTCGTCCGTCGTCGGCGTCTCGTCGTCGTTCCCCGTATTTCGTCGCCGTCGTCGTCGTCGTTGTCGTCGTCGTCTTCCCTCCTCCCTCGTCGTTGTCGTCGTCGGCGTCGCCGTCCTTCCTCCTTCGTCGTTCGCGTCGTGGCCGTCCTCCCTCCTCCCTCGTCGTTGTCGTCGTTGTCGTCGTTGTCGCCGCCGTCGTCGTCCTCCCTCCTCCCTCGTCGTCGTCTTCGTTGGCGACGTCGTCGTCGTCTTCGTCGTCGTCGTTGGGTGTCGTCGTCGTCCTCGTCGTCGTCGACGTCTGCGTCGCCGTCGTCGCCGCCGTCGTCGTCGTCGTCGTCGTCGTCATCGTTGTCGTCGTCGTTGTCGTCGTCGTCGTCGGTGTCGTCGTTGTCGTCGTTGTCGGCGTCGTCATCGTCGTCGTCGTTGTCATCGTCGTCGTCGCCGTCGTCGTCGGCGTCGGCGCCGTCGTCGTCGTCGGTATCGTCGTCGTCGTCGTTGTCGGCGTCGTCGAAGTCGTTGGAGGCGTCGTCGGTGTCGTCGTAGTCGTCGGCGTCTCGTCGTCGTCGTCGTTGTTGCTGTCGTCGTCGGCGTCGCTGTCTTTGCCAAGTACCATTTGGTACCCACCGTCACGGTCTTAAGAGATTTTGCAAACCAAGTTGCAGGTGGGTGGGTGGGATCTTTGCGCGAGCAGTGGAGGTGGTCAAGCGCGGTGCAGGGTAGTCAGTTCTCCCCCCCCCCACCCCGGCGTTATCGGCCCCCCTTTCGGATTCTGACCACATGTCCATCCTAAATATGAATTTACACTATCCCTGGCCAGCCGGGTTCCCCCCCCTGAGGTTCCCTTATAAAAAACACTATGCGGTGACATTTGTTGTTCTAACATAACATTGTTTCACGAATCCCTTGCAAGAAATGGGACGAAGTGCACACGCGCGCGTCGTCGCGCGCGCATGTCGAAATCCGTCAAAAACCTTCGGGGCCGGAAGGATTTTGCAATCGAGTTTCCAAAACACATACAAAAACACAGGGTTTTGCAACACTGATTTGCTAAAAAAGCTTCCCCGCGAGCTCTTGCGGAATCTTAAGAAAACCATAGATTTTTCAAGATTTCCACAAACTGCTACCAAACGAGCTTCGCGCGCACGCATGCCGAAATCTGTCGAACGCCCTTGCGCGTGTGCCGTCGCGAGAATCCTCTGCAACAAATGGGACGAAGTGCAGACGCGCGCGTCGTCGCGCGCGTATGCCGAAATCCTTCAGAACCCATCGGTTTCGGAAGGATTTCAAAATCGTGTGAAAGAAAAAACCTTCAAAACCACAAGGTTTCGCAACACGGATTTTGAACAAAAGCGTGCGCGCGCGCTCTTGCGTCGTCGTCGTCGTTGTCGCCGTCTTCCCTCCTCCCGCGTCGTCGTCGTTGTCGTCGCCTACGTCGTCCTCTGTCTTTCCTCGTGTTCGTCGTCGTCGTCCTCTTTTGCGTCGTGATCGTTTCCGTCGTCGTTGTCGCCGTGGTCGTCCTTCCTCCTCCTCCCTCGTCGTCGTCGTCGTCCGTCGTCGGCGTCTCGTCGTCGTCCCCCGTATTTCGTCGCCGTCGTCGTCGTCGTCGTCGTCGTCGTCGCCTTCCCTCCTCCCTCGTCGTTGTCGTCGTCGGCGTCGCCGTCCTTCCTCCTTCTTCGTCGTTCGCGTCGTCGCCGTCCTCCCTCCTCCCTCGTCGTTGTCGTCGTTGTCGTCGTTGTCGCCGTCGTCGTCCTTCCTCCTCCCTTGTCGTCGTCTTCCCTGGTGACGTCGTCGTCGTCTTCGTCGTCGTCGGCGTCGGCGTCGTTGTCGTCGTCGAAGTCGTCGGAGACGTCGTCGGTGTCGTCGTAGTCGCCGTCGTCGTCGTCGGTGTCGTCGCAATCGGTGTCGGCGGCGCCGTCGTCGTCGTTGTCGCTGACGTCGTCGGCGTCGGTGTCGTGGCCAAGTGTCATGTGGTACCTACCGTCACGGTCTTGTTTTAAGAGGTCTTGCGACCAAGTTGCGGGAGGGAGGGTGGGATGTTTGCACGAGCAGTGGAGAGGACAGTTTCTAGACGGTCAAATATTAATTGCACCACCTAGACTGCACCACGTCGATTGCATCATAGATGACACTGCGTACAGTACAAGAACTCACTGTTCGGGGACCACGCTGGTTCACATGTTCATAGAATTCTTGACGCTTCGCGTATCCCCACCAGCCCATCCTACACCAGGCACTCGAACGAAGAGCGCCGATGATCGGCAGCTGTTCTTCTCCCCCTCTTCCTCCTTCTCCTCCGCCTTCTTCCTCCTCCTCCTCTCCTCCTCCCTCTCCTCCTCCTCTTCCTCCATCACGAGTAAGATTCGAATTGGAAGCCAAGGTAACCCCAAAATGGCTCCAAGATGGCCCCAAGATGGCCCCAAGATGGCCCAACATGGCCCAAAAATGGCCCAATGGCCCCAGGATGGCCCTAGCTGGCCCCAACATGGCTCCTTAGGGGAAGCTTGGAGGTGGAACATGCTCTTACTCTTGACTTTGGAAAACCATTGACTTTACACCATTCTGAAAAGTCAAGAGTAAGAGCCGAATTGGAAGCCAAGGTAACCCCAACATGGCTCCAAGATGGCCCAAGATGGCCCCAAGATGGCCCCAAAGGCTCAAAGATAGCCCAACATGGGCGTCTGGGGTCCTTTTAGACGCCATCGGGGCGCTCTGGGGGGGCATCTTGGAGCAAATGTATCAAAGAAGAGCAGAGCTTTAATTAGCGTTGCCCCTCCAGACTGTCTAAAATCGCTTCCTGGACCCCTCTTGGATCGCTCTTGGAGCGCTCTTGGACGCTGTTGAGGCAGTCTTGAGGCTCTCTTGGGCCCCTGTTGGGGCCCAGTTGGGACATCTTGGCGCCATCTTGAGGCCTCGGATGGGCTTCGGAAGCGAAAAAGTGAGAACACCAAAAACATTGATTTTCCCTAGGGTTTTGAAGCATTTCTGCCTTTTGAGGGCACTCTAATGATGCTCTTGTGGGCACTTGGAACCATCTTGGAGCGGTCTTGGAGCGTGTTGGAGCGTCTTCTGAACCATCTTCAGGCATCTTGCGCTATCTTGAGCCATTTTGGAGGCGATCTTGGGCTCTCTGAGGCCCTCTTGGAGCCGTCCTGGGCCATCTTGGACGCTCTGACCGCTCCCCGCCCCTCCTGTCCAGGTCAGTGGGGAGGCGGTAGGAGGAGGGGTAAACCCCTCCCCGAAGGGGAAGAGGGAGGGGTGGAAGAGGAAACGCCCTAAACCACCGACGCCCAGAGGGCTGGTGGGATTCTATATTGTTTCTAAAAGGTGGTACAGGACGTATGGGGGAAGAGCAGGGAGGAGGAGGAGGAGGAGGAGAAGGGAGGGAGAGGAGGACGAGGGAGAGGAAGGCAGGGAAGAAGGTAGAGGCCGCAAACAACGGCTGCCTTGAACTTCCCAAAGCCTTTCCTGCCATTCGAAGACACTCTCAATCTACAGCCTCCTCTCCCTGGGAGGAGAATGGTGAGGAAGGAGGCTGGATGACGATGAGGGTAAGGAGGACGCAGAGGAGGAGAGAGGAACGATGAGGGAGGACGGAGTGGTTCAAGTACTGGAGAGGGGACCGCTCGCTCCATGGACTTCGCGCCCCACTGAT